CATAAATCTAAAAAAGAAAGATATCTTTGCTGGGAGAGAGAGGCAGGTAGATCTTTGTGAGTTTGAGGCCAGCCTGGTTTACAGAGAGTTTCAGGAGAGCCAGGGCTGTTACACAGAGAAATCCTGTCTTGAGAAACCATAAAAGGAAGGAAGGAAGGAAGGAAGGAAGGAAGGAAGGAAGGAAGGAAGGAAGGAAGGAAGGGGAGGGAGGGATGGAGGGAGGGAGGGAGGGAGGGAAGAAGCAAAGAACATCTTCAAAGGCCCTGATCCCCAGCAGGTCACCCCCAGCAAAGAGAACACCAAGTACTGGGCTGCCTTCCCACCTTGGTCTAGCCACAAGGAACCGCAGGGAGTTGTAATACACAGAAGCCTTTCAAATGCAGAGGCTGTGGAACATGCTTCCAGAAGGACGTTGCTTTCCTTGACCACCTCACAACACACTGTGAGGAAAGACCCAGGTGGGAATGGGCTCACTGAGGACTCAGATCGTGTTAATGACAACAAATATCTCACTGAAAAGACATTTTGTGTGGGTGTGTGACAAACAGGGGAAGATCTTCGGGCACTTATTTAAACTAAGGTCACATCAGAAAGATCATAGTGAAATGTCACAGCCTACCTATAATGAAAACACTCAATGGTTCAGCACCAGAGAGTTCACAGTAGAGACAAGCCGTTATGAGCGTGGTCAGTGTTAAGAAAGCCTTTGCTTGACACTTCCTTGTTGTCTGGCCTCAGAATGTTCACAACACAGAAAGGCCTTCCAAATGCGGCTGGTGCACAGGAGTCTTTAGTTCCAACTTTGTTGAGCACCAGAAAATACACAATGGAGAAAGGCCTTCAAATGCAACGAGTGTAGGAAAGCCCCCACAAAGAGCTCCCACCTTTGGGAGCTCTTTGTCACCAGGAAGGTCCCAACACAGAAAGGCCTCCAGGGTGCAGTGAATACGGGAAACCTCCACACTTGTTCTGCATCAAAGGGACCGCATTGCACAAAGGCCTGATAACTTCAACTAGTGTGGGAAAGTCTACAGCAGCCTCTCTAACCTTGGCGAATTCAAACCGGAGGAAACATGGGCGAATTCACACCGGAGGAAAGCCCTATGAATGCTCAGAACATAGAAAAGCCTTCAGCCGAAGCTCTGCCCTCATTCAGTACCAGAAGGTTCACACGAGAGAGGCCTTCCAAAGGCAGTGAATGCAGGAAAGCCTTCAGCTATAGCTCTAACTTTGCTAAGCACCGGAAAGTTCATTCTGGAAAAAGGCCTTGGGTGTGGTTGGTGTGGGAGTCTTTGGTGAAAGCTCCATCCTCAGTCAGCACCAGAGAATCTACACGGGAGAAAAGCACATCACAGCAAATGTGGAAAAGCATTCCACTATAGCCTAACCTGTCCAAGCACCAGGAAGGACATGCTAGAGACTAGCTTTCCACGTGCATTGGATTTAGGAACACCTTCAATCAAAGCTCTCAGCCCAGAAGTGTCACACTGCAAAGAGGCCTTTAAAAATGTGGCCAGGGCTAGAGAGAAGGCAGGGTTTAAATGAGTCCACCAGACCCAAGGTAGATGACAAATAGGTGTTTATTAGGAAAGCAGGTACACAGATAAGAGTATATAACCCCCACGGCCTTCCTGCTCCAGAAGATGCTGTGTCTACCCTTCCTATGATCTCCACAAGCCAAGAGAGTGTGAACCAGCCCCTTCTCTATTATAATGGGTCACATCTGCACGCTGTGGCCACCACTACAAGTCCACTGGCAAGGCAAGATGCCCTACGGCTCAGCAGTTAAGAGCACTGGATGCTCTTCCAGAAGACCCAGGTTCAATTCCCAGTGCCCGCATGGCAGCTCTGTAACTCCAGTTCCAGGGGATCTGACACCTTCACACCAGTGCACACAATGTAAAGTGAAATAATTTTATAAAAAGAAAATATGGCCAATGTGGGCATGTACTCAGCTAGAGCCTTTCTTCCGTTTCATTATAAAGGGACTCATGAGAAACCTAAAGTCCAAAGAATCTTTGTGAGGAAGCCTTCAGGTTATGGCAACTGAAAGGGAAACCTATGTTCCAGTATCCCTCATGGGGAGAGTGTCAAAAATGTAGGAAGTCTGAGGCGCTATTTTACACTTTCTTTTCTGTCTAGGTCCTTTGTCAGACTATGTCGCTGTCAGATGTCATCTTACCTGGAAGGGCTCACAGTTTGTGCCTCCCATACTTAGGGAAAGCAGACCTCAGTGCTGTCTCATTCTGGAGTAAGTGAAGGGAGCCCTTTGGGTCACCCCAGTTCCTACTTGTCCCCATCTGCGGTGGTTCAGGCCCTTCTCTAACCTAGGTTGGTCCTAGGGGATCTGAACTGGAGTCTACTGATGACATCCCAAGATTTTCCATCTTGATTCTTGAGTCTCCGATGGGTCAACTTGGACCCAGCTACCGTCAGAGAGAATAAGAAAAGTCTCACCATTAAGCCTTACCTTTGGTATATCGGGGACTTCCACTCCACTGTCCAGTTTCCAAAGCTTTAGACTCGAGAGGACACATGGGGCACAGTGCCCTTCAGTCAATCCCCTGGACTTTGAGCATCAAGGAAATCCAGGCGAACATGAACATCTTGCTGTCACCTGTGAGGTAAGGCGACCACGCCTTCTAGGCTCTTCCATCTTTACACTGCTAGCCCAATTACCCACAGAGGGCGATCCCCAACATGAAAAGATGACTTTGCCGGCAGAGGCAGGCGGATCTCTGTGAGTTCGAGGCCAGCCTGGTCTACAGAGCGAGGTTCAGGACAGCCTCCAAAGCCACAGAGAAACCCTGTCTTGAAAAAAAAAAAAGTGAACAAAAGAGAAGAGGGAGGGAGACAGGAAAAGTCCTGTCTGCCCCAGGGGAACTGCTGGAAAAGAGAGTGTAAGTGTGTGTGGGGGGGGTGTCTTTCTTTTAAAGGGGTCCTTTGACCTGCGTGCAAACTAAGCCATCATGGAACCCTGGGCTGACCAGGGTACTGCCTGAGTGCATTCTGCCAGGTGACTGGAGCAGGCCAGCATAATGCCGGAATCCTTACACCTACAGCAGTGTTGAAGGGTCTCTGTTTCCTTGTCCTACCCACACACAGGGCCTCTGAACACCAGAGTCTACAGTCAAGTGTCACTGGCTATAACTTTACAGTAGCCAGGTGGGAGCCATAGGTGGGAACAAAAACAGTGAATTCAAGGTCAGAAAGTGAGGGAGACTGTGGTAAATGAAATCAATATACGGATGAGATGCCTGGATCACATATACAGGCTCCTAAGTGTTGGTTATATTCAAATTCACATTCAGTGACACCGAATAGACAGCAGGGAGAAAAACAATGGGGGAATGTCTTTTTTTGCAGTTTTGGAGTTTATACCACAATTAAAAAAAAAACAATCAAGGGGGCTGAAGAGATGGCTCAGGGGTTAAAGAGCACTAGCTGTTCTTCCAGAGGTCATGAGTTCAATTCCCAGCAACCACAAGGTGGCCCTCTTCTGGCCTGCATTGCAAGCATACATGCAGGCAGAACACTGTATACATAATAAGTAAATCTTATTAAAAAAGCCAAAAAACTTGAGTTCTGTAAAATAAATAAATAAATAAAACAGCAGCTCTTTGGAAAACAAAAACCTGTCTTTGTTTTTCTTTTCTTTTTTGAGAGATGGTCTTGTATAGCCCAGACTGTCCCCAAACTTCTTATATTCCTGCCTCCACCTTCCTAGTGCTGGAATTACAAGCATACACCACCACATTTAACTATGACCTGATATTCAATGCTTATTAAATTTGCCCTGATGGTGACTTTGGCCACAGGAGAGGTAATCCTATATGCCATCTTGAACCTCCATTTTCTTTAGAATAAGGATGATGATGATGATAATAATAACAACAATAATAATAATAAGCAAAGCAGAGCAAAAAACCTAAAGGTTTGTAGAATCCTTTAATGTCCCACCCAGGCTGGCGTTGGTAGTGTATACCTTTAATCCCCCTAGTACTCAAGAGGCAGAGGCAGGTGGATCTCTGTGAGTTCGAGACCAGCCTGGTCTACAAGAGCTAGTTCCAGGACAGCCTCCAAAGCCACAGAGAAACCCTGTCTCAAAAAAAAAAAAGTCCCACCCAGATCTATAAACCGTATGTGTTTCTGGCCCAACAATGACTGTGTGGCAAATCAGGCAAACGGGGGTCTGGGGGTCTCCAGACATGAAGAACCTGTTGGCCTATAACATTTACCCACAATGTGTACCTCCGCTCCTGAAGTCTCTCTTCTTTCCAGACCCTGACGCCTGAGACAAACTGACCACTTAAAGGAAAGTGCTGGGCGTTGGTGGCACACGCCTTTAATCCCAGCACTCGGGAGGCAGAGGCAGGCGGATCTCTGTGAGTTCGAGACTAGGCTGGACTACCAAGCGAGTTCCAGGACAGCCTCCAAAGCCACAGAGAAACCCTGTCTCGAAAAAACCAAAAAAAAAAAAAAAAAAAAAAAAAAAAAAAGGAAAGCATCAGGGAGCATGGGGCAAGTCTGCATAACTTGTGAGCATTCCAACATATCAGAGCAGATCCTAACTCCAGGCCACCTAATCTTCCCAATAAGTCTATATGGAAGGTAGTTGGCTTGCTCTGTGTTTGTGTGTGGTTGTGTGTGTGTGTGTCAGAATAGCCCAAACCAAGCTCCCCTGGCTCTGAGGGACTACAAATTAGTCTGCTGACCGTCCATCTTGACCGTCAAGGGAGGCCTGCCTAACAACTGTCACTGAAGAAAGCAGTGTTGAGGAAAAGACAGAGACGGTCCGTTTATGGGGTGGTATGGGTTAAGACAAGCTCTTGCCCCATAGGCCTAGGCTGACCTTGTATTTGCTACGTAGTAAATTATGGCCTCAAATTTGCAGTTCTGCTTCAGCCTTCTAAGTACGGCAATTACAGGCATACTGGCTCAGAGAAAGCCTTTTGCTAAGACTTGAGGCCCAAATCAAATTAGTACCCGAAGCCAAATACTTCAGAGAAGCTTTGATTTCATTCACCTCTAATAATGACACTTGGAGAACACCAGTTAGAACTCAGGAGTCAGGGAACAATAGTATGAGATACCAGCATCGGGTCAGGAAGACTGAAAGACCCAATAGCCCTCCACACCGGACCTGGGATTCACAGGGACTGCCCCTCTCTGGCCACAGCCCGATGCCCACTCCGCACGTTTCCTCTCTTGCCTAGTCTGAAATGTGAAAGCAGAGATTCCCGTGGAAGACCAAGCGGTCTGTGGGAAGTCAACCAACCCTAGGTGAGGGTGAGCGGCCCCACGACAGACCGCATCAGCGTAGCGAAAGCCACCTGTACAGGTGTGCAGCTGCACAGCTGGGTGGGGAGAGCGCTGTCATGTAAAATAAACACTCGGGGAAGGCCTCCGGGGCCCCCATTCATGTCAACGCCCGTTCCGTCGGCAGGACCGACGAGAAGAAGCAGGCAGCCAGCCAGGAAACGGCCGGGCGGTGGATGGTATGACCTCAGAGCTTGCGTCCCTCTCCGTATGCGCACGCATCTCCACAGGCGACGGCTGGACACGCTGCGACCCCGCGGCATTCACGTCGGGTGGCCCGGTGGCCAGCGCCGGCGGGGCTCTGGGGAAGGACTAGCGCTGGTGCCGCGGAGGCGAAACGTCCAGCACGCTCCCGTCTTCTCCGATCCCGTCTTCTCCGATCCCGCTTGAGCGACACGCCCGGCCATTTCCTGGCAGCAACTACCTGATGCCACCGCCCACTGCCCATAGCGTGGCAGAAGGGGCGGGCCAAACGCCAGAGGCCCCGCCTCCTCGACGCAGCGGTCCAGGGTGACTTCCTAGTCCCTCGTTGGCCCAGCGTCCCTTGGGCACGCCCGGAAACGCCCTCCTGGGTTTCTCCTCCACCAGCTAAGAGGTTGCTGGGTGATGCCGAGCGCGTCACGTAGGCGGCGACGCAGCGCCCTTTGCTTCATGATCACCGTGACAACGACCGGGCGGCGCCCCGATGGTTCCTGGGAAGCCGTGCGGCATTTGTCCCAGGGCCCTAAGCCAATGAAACCTCAGAGATCTGGTTCAAATCTCCAGAGCAGCAGCGGCCCGGGAGGGGCTTCCGATCCCCACGCGGCCCAGGTTCCGATGGAGCTGGTCGCCGAAGGACCCAGACCTCCGCTGAGGGAAGGAAAAGCGTACATAGGTTTTCGTTCAGAGATCCGGGACCTCGTGTTCCTGGAGCCTTGTAGGAGGCGGCATTCAGCAATTTCGGTCTTCTCCTGTGTTTTTAGATGACCGTCTTCTGAAAAAAACAAACAAACAAAAAAACCGCCGTCTTGGGTTGGAGAGATGGCTCAGGGGTTAAGAGCATGCCGAAAAGGTGTGGTTCACTGGGGCATTTCGACCCTGAGTTTCTAGAAGAGGGTTGAGTACTTTCCTTTCCCCGTAGCTGCCTGCTGGAGAACACACTGAGGGGTTGCTTAGGGTTGGGATGGAAAGGCCAGCAGTTTCTATGACTGGCAAGGAGTGCCTGTGGAATTAAACAGCAGACTCTGGAATCTGCTTAAGTTGGGCCAACTAGATTACCTGATGTCTGTGAGAAAAAAGAGATACCAAGATTTACCCTGGGGTTTTGGAGAGTATAGAAGTTGATGTAAAGGTTTTGTATTTAAGATGTCTCAAACTGCATTATAGGCAGCCATAGATTGGGTTCAGAATACTGACCGAGAGAGCAGACCTAGCACAAAACAGTGACTCATAGGCTGGGTGGGGTGGCATAGGTTTATAATCCTTCTCAGGAAGCTGAGGCAGGAGGACCATGAGTTCAAAGCCTGCCTGACCTGCAAAGTGAGTTTAAGGGCAAAACAAGTATTGTAGCAAGACCCTGTGTCAACTGTAAAGGATTTGCCTAGCATGGGCAAAGCTCTGATATTGACTCCAGCTTGCCCCTACACCTCCACCCTCCCCAAAAAAAGTATATTAATCATCCTTGGGGAATGAGGGTTCTATCAGGCCGGTCAAGTAGCAGAAACAGAAACGATCAGTCAAACTGAGTCCCCAAAGTATGGGCAATTATCAGTGGGTCAGATTGGCTTATTCCGAAGAGCAAGGACAGCCGTGAGAGAAGAGCATAGTAGAAGCAGAGGAAGGGGCTGGAGAGATGGCTTAGTGGTTAAGAGCACTGACTGTTCTTCCAGAGGTCCTGAGTTCAATTCCTGGCAAGCACATGGTGACTCACAACCACCTTGAATGAGATCTGGTGTCCTCTGCTGGCATGCAGGTAAAAGGCCGTATACACAATAAATAAAATATTAAAAAAAAAAAAAGCAGAGGAAGACGGAAGGATTTCAGATCTGCTCATGGTTCTGGGCAGCTGAAGGTGAAAACAAGATAGCCAGAAGGAGAGGCATTAACATGGAGGGTTTGTAGATGTTCTGAAGAGTGACACCTACAAGAAGAGATCATGTGAACTAATGTGTCCTGGGCCTGCCAGAGGCTTTTGTGGACAGGGTTTCTCTATGTAACAGCTCTGGCTGTTCTGTAGACCAGGCTGGCCTCAAACTTAGAGGTCTGCCTGCCTCTTCCTCCCAAGTGTAGGGATTAAATGCCACCACCACCACCACCACCAGTTCCTGCTAGAGGCTTAACGGAGAAATAAAATCCCAATTTTTTCTTTTTCTTTTTTTTTCTTTTTTTTTTTTTTTTTTGACAGGGTGTCATGTAGTCCAGGCTGGCCTCAGACTCACTATATGAGTTCAAGGATGGCTGCGAACTCCTGGTCTTTATGCCTTCAGTTTCCAAGTCCTGGGGTTACAAGTGTTGTTAGCCACCCTGCTTAGCTCCTAAGTTTCTTATGTTTGAAAGACACTAAGATACTAGTGTCCCAGATACTTCCCATCTACACACTTGCCTATTCTTCGTGGACAGGCCGGTCTGGATGCTGCGGACTAGTAGGACTTTGAAGGAGTGTCCCCGTGAATGTCAAGACTCTTCTGAGTTGGAGGCGGAGTAAGATAAGCAAGAGGAGGATGAGCTGTTGGGTCCTGAGATGCCAGCGACTGATGTGGCAAACGTCTGAGCCACCGGGCCACGGCCTGGGGATATCCACTCAGCCATCTCTGTTTGGTTTTCAGCCATCTGTTCTCATCGATGCAGAGCACAGTAACCTTCAAAGATGTGACCAAACCCTTCTCCCAGGAGTGGGGAGTTTTGGTGCAGCGCAAAGGCACCTGGTCCCACCGAGTGACTGGGAAATGAGCTCATTGCATTCCTTGGTTGGGTCCTGTTTTCCTGCCTCAGTGACCTGCTGCGGCTTCTACCGTGTCTCCAGGTTCGGGCCGCCCGAAGGCCAGGACCTGGGCACGCTTCTTTCCCTAGTGTCTGTTGCAGGTGCCCTGGGTTCTGGACTTGGCTTTGTGTTTCCCTGTCTCTCTTTTCCTGTGCAGACTCGAGAGCAGTCAGGGTTTTCTTTTCCCTTTCATTTTTAAAGCATTTATTGATTATGTATGAGGCTCTGCCTGCATGTATCCCTGCAGGCCGGAAGAGGGCACCAGATCTCATTACAGATGATAGTGAGTCACCAGGTGGTTTCTGGGAATTGAATTCCTGACCTCTGGAAGAGGAGCAGCTAGTGCTTTTAACCTCTGAGCCATCTCTCCAGCCTGGCTTTCCCTTAGATTAAGAAAAAAAACTATAACCAGGCATTGGTGGCACACGCCTTTAGTCCCAGCACTTGGGAGGCAGAGGCAGGCGGATCTCTGAGTTCAGGGCTAACATGGTCTACAGAGTGGAGTTCCAGGACAGCCAAGGCTATAGAGAGAAGCCTTGTCTTAAACCACCAAAAAAAAAAAAATCTTTACAGACAGATCTCACTATGTAGCATTGCCTGGAATTCATAGAGTTCCTTGTCCCTGCCTCCTGAGTGCTGGACCCACAAATAAGACTTTCTCTAGAAGACTCAAGAACCAGCATCACTCAAGCCAACCTCGATTGAGGCAGGTGGACCTCTGTGAGTTCGAGGCCAGCCTGGTCTACAAAGCAAATTCCAGGATAGGCTCCAAAACACTACAGAGAAACCTGTCTCTGAAAAAAAAATTATGAAGGACTTTTCACAATCTATGTATGTGTGAGACCCCTCTTCCTTGTGAAACTGATGGTGCCAACTGTGACAGGACTTGGTGGTGAAGGTTTTCCCACACGGGCTACATGTGTAGGGCAGCTCACCAGTGTTGACTTTGACGTGTTAATACAGGCCAGATCGGGTCATGTAGGTTTTCCCACACTGTTGGCACTCACAAGGAATCTTTCCAGTGTGTACTCTGATGAAGGATGCTGCCGCTGCCTCCTCTAAAGCGCTTTCCACATCTTTCACTCACAGGCTCTTTCTTCAACATGAACATGCCCGTGCAAAACCAGGGCAGACCGTGCGGAAGGCTTTCCCACACTTGCTGCACTGTAACGGCTTTCTCCAGTGCAAATCCTAGGATGCAAATCCAAGCGCGTCTTTGCTGCTGAGGGGCTCCCACATTCTCTTCTGACTGAAGGCCTCCTCACACTCGTTACACAGGAGCCGTGACTCCAGGGCCAGTTGTTTTGGTGACTAACAAGGGTTGAGTTCTCCTTGGGGGCATTCTTGCCCAACCTGCAAATAAAATGTCTCCCACTAGAGGTATATCAGGTGACTGAGAGCGAGGGCGTTCTGGAAGCTTGTTCCACAGCCGCTGCATCTGAAGGGCTTCCGTGTACCATGGGCTCCCTGCTGCTGTCCGTTGGTGGGCTGGGGTAGGGAGGCTGACCTATACTCAGTCATCCCTCACACCTTTTCCTTGTTGGGGGATCCTTGGCGCTGGAGGTTGGGGGTGTCCGGGTTATCCTTCCCAAGTTCCCCACACATACAGGGCTTCTCTGACACCTGTTTACAAGAAGTTTCCTTATCTTCCGCTGTACATCGACAACTTGAAAGCAAAGATAAGTCACTTCCTGAACTGGCGGAAGATAGCATCTTTTTTTTTTTTTTTTTTTTTTTTTTTTGAGACAGGGTTTCTCTGTATTGTTTTGGAGGCTGTCCTGGAACTCGATCGGTAGACCAGGCTGGTCTCGAACTCACTGAGATCCGCCTGCCTCTCCCTCCCCAGTGCTGGGATTAAAGGCGTGCGCCACCAACGCCCAGTGAAGATAGCATCTTTATTACCAGTGCGGGTGAGGCATATAGAGAAAGGAGATATACAAGGTTTCTGGGAAAGTTCTGGGTGAGCATAGGTGAGGCCAGCCGAACTCAGCTCTACTGACCACAGAATGAGGAAAACTTGAATAGAGGCGAGGACACAAAATAAGGTGTGGTATAGTGTAGGGAAGGACTGGGGTTTTCAAGACACTCCTAAGGGTTTCAGCAAGGCTTAGACTGCTGATGATATCAGAGCACTGTCTAGAACAGTCTACTTTCAGCAAAAACCTGACTGAAAAATAGCTAATGTTTTTATAAAATTTATTTATTTATTTATTACGAATACAACACCCTGCCTCCATGTACACATCAGAAGAGGCCGCCAGATCTCATTACAGATGGTTGTGAGCCACCATGTGGTTGCTGGGAATTGAACTCATGACCTCTGGAAGAGCAGTCAGCGCTCTTAACCTGCGAGCTCTGTGCAGCTTTGGAGCCTATTCTGGCACTCCTCTGTAGACCAGGCTGGCCTGGAACTCACAGAGACCTGCCTGCTTCTATCTCCTGAGTGCCACCACCACCCAGCTCAAATATTATTATTATTTATTTATTTTTTGGTTTCTCTGTGGCTTTGGAGGCTGTGCTGGAAGTAGCTCTTATAGACCAGGCTGGCCTTAAACTCACAGAGATCCTCCTGCTTCTTCTGCCTCTCGAGTGCTGGTATTAAAGGCGTGCACCACCACCGCCAGGCTCAAATATTATTTTTTAATGATTTTATTTTTATTTATGCACATAGGTGTTTTATCTATGTATGTCAGATCCCCTGGAACAGGAGATAGAGATGGTTGTGAACTGTGATATGGGTGCTGGGAATTGAACCCAGGTCCCCTGGAAGAGCAGCCAGTGCTCTTAAATGCTGAGCTGTCTCTCCCAGCGCCTTGGTGCTGCTCTTTCAGAGGAACTGAGTTCTGATCCTAGTGCTCATGTCAAATGGTCCACAACCATAATAGTTCCCAGTTCCAGGAGCTTCTTTTGGTCTCCATAGGCTCTACGTGGATATGGTGCACAGACATTCATGCAGGTAGACACCCACACACATGCAAACAAAAAACCTTACGTCGTTACCAGCAACAAAAACAACAGCATACACAAATACTAAAGTTTTTGTTTTGTTTTGGAGATCGGGTTTCTCTGTAGTCCTGGCTGCCCTGGAATTCATTATGTAGACCAGGCTTGCCTTGAACTCACAGAGATCCGCCCTCCTTTGCCTCCTGGGTGCTGGGATTAAAGGTATGTGCTATCATCACCCAGTTTTATTTTTATTTTTTTAAAGATTTATTTATGATATATACAGTGTTCTGCCTACATGCCAGAAGAGGGCACCAGATTGAATTATAGATAGGTGTGAACCACCACGTGGTTGCTGGGAATTGAACTCAGGACCTCTGGAAGAGCAGTCAGTGCTCTTAACCTCTGAGCCATCTCTCCAGCCCCATCACCCAGTTTTATAGCTAATTCTTTCAGGGTTTGGGTAACAACTTAAACACCTCAATCAAAGGCCCAGGGATGCTGTTGGATGCCTTTAACCTGAGCACTCAGGAGGCAGAGGCAGAAGAATCTGAGTTTGGGGCCTTTTGCTTCTAGCGAAAGAGCCTCGGGGTTCCATTTCTTTGGGAACCTGCCACACCATCTCAGAACACAAGGTGGAAGGCTCCTAAGTAATGTCATTGTCCTCACACTTTACAGTCATGTGCACCAACGTCCCCCCCCACAAACACACACATGAGCAAAACTAGAAGTGAAAATAAAATGTTCAGACATCGATTCAGTTTGCACACTGAAAATACAAGGTGGCTGAAAAGAAAGTACGAGACAAGTGAAAAGATAGCCCATGAACACTGATCTGGAAGACATAAAATACTGCCCCAGGGGCTGGAGAGATGGCTCAGAGGTTAAGAGCACTGACTGCTCTTCCAGAGGTCCTGAGTTCAATTCCCAGCATCCACATGGTGGCTGACAACCATCTTCAATTCAGTTTGGTGTATATGTAATAAATGAATCTTTAAAAAAAAATACTGCCCCAGATTATCTAGCGACTGAAATTATAACTCAAGCCTGTTCTAGGCTGGACCTTGTAAAACTTCTCCTGGAGGTAGGAGGGGCCATGTTTCTGGCACATTCACAGGGTCAGGCAGAAACAGAGCTGAGGGGGATTCGAGGCTAACCTGGGAAACAGTTGGGTTGTTCCCATAGTCCCTTGAGGCAGCAGTCATTTACGCACATGACAGGAGGTCCAGACCCAGCACCTATTAACACCTTCAACAGACAACCTAGGCCTTCCGTGGGAAAGCCGTCAGGTGACCCGTGACCTGGGAGAGAGAGGGACTTAGCCGGAGAGCTAATGAGTGCAACGTTCACCCCTCCAGCATCAATCACCTCCTCTGGGTCACGTTAAGGAGCTCTCATTTCTCTAGGAAAAAAACATACGGTCACGTCTTTAAACATCATCAGGCTCGTCAACCAAGTCGGCTTCGATAAACGGTGAGCAGAAGAAAACCTGTCTCTCGGACACAAACCAAACCCTTAACCCTTTGACCCCCAAATAGTTGGTCCCAGAACTCTCCCAGCAAACTGTGTGACTCTACATACCTTCTCCAGGACCTCCTCGCTCCATCTCTTGCCTCCTTCCAGGGAGGGTCAGCCACGGGCCACCATCTCATTCTTCCCCACGCCTCTGATGACTCCCATCCAGTGCGTGAAAAGAAAGCTCTCACTCTTGAGATCCCATGGCCACCTTCCAAAACCGCTGCCATAGCACATCCGGGGACACCCTCCTCTCAGGAGGAAATGTCCTTGCAACCAGAGGGCAAGTTGACTTGGACCAAGCCTTGGTGTCTGTTGCATATTATGACATCACTTTTGTGTGCTTGGTTGTTGCCAAGGCAACCGAGGAGGCTGAGATGGAGCGGTCAGTATTCCGCACAAGCCACGGTACTGTCTGTCTGCCTATGGAAACCCGGGCCAGGAAAGCGGGAGAATCGGGAACAGAACAGATACTTACCCGCGCCCCCACAGACCCCTGTATCCTCATCAGAACCTCTACGGCCAGAGAATCATCCCTCTTGACACAGGACTTACAGGGCGTGACCCGCGACTCAGAGAAGCTATGGGGCTGGAAGTTTAGGGGTAAAGGAGGTGTTTAACAAGTGCATCCGCAGCACACACAGCAAAGCGAGCTGTCCAGGCCTCAAGTGGTTAACACTCTTGAGCCGGGGGCAGGAGGATTGACAGTTACAGGCCAGCCTGGGCCACAGAGCAAAGCCCTGCCTCAGGTAAACCAAACTTGGCAGTGGTGGTGCAGTAACAGGGGGATCTCTGAGGTCCAGGCCAGCCAGGGCTATGCAGAGAAACCTTGTCTTGTTTGGCAGCAAGGCATTCTTTTTGTGTTTTGTTTTGTTTTGGAGGCTGTCCTGGAACTCCCTTTGTAGACCAGGCTGGTCTCGAACTCATAGAGATCCCCCTGCCTCTGCCTCCCAAGTGCTGGGATTAAAGGCATGCGCCACCAATGCTTGGCTCAAAAAAAGTTTCTTAATGAACTGGAAAGATGGCTCAGTTGGTAAAGTGTTTGTCATTCAAGTATGAGGACCTGGTCAGATCCCTAGCATCCATGTAAAAGCAAAGGACTGTGCGAGGTTGGTGGCCCCAGCCCTGGGAGCACAGAGACGGCTCAAAAACTGAGGTTGAGAGCAATTGAAGACACTGTCCCCAAGTGATCTCTGACCTTCACATGCACAGGCAATGGTACACTCACACTCACCCCCCCACACACACACACCTACACAAATGCAAATTTTCAGAATGGGTGATGTCACCTCGGTCACTTCCTGTAAAATACAAGGTACTAGTTATTGTTTGGAGGTCCAGCTTCTAGAGGTATCCAAGGCCCGAGTGTTTTTGTCTATAGAGTTCAACATTTTCCTTATATACAGCTCAGTCTTCCCCACCAGGGTCTGTCACGGGATGAGTCGGCTGCTCCTGAGGAGATAGTTAACTCACTCCTACATTCCATCACTTCCGTTCTAATAACATGAACCCATAAAGAGGCATGACAGGCACACCAGAGGAGACAGGGAGCTGGTGAGTGTTCCCAGGATGGGCTGTTCTCATACCTGGTATATGACTTTATCCTCATGCCTTGTGCATAGTCTGTCCTCACACCTGATACATGGCTCTGTCCTCATGCCTGATGTATGGCCTGTCCCCACACGTGCTGAATAGCCTGTCATACCTGGTGTTGGCTCTGTCCTCATGCCTGATGTATGGCCTTGTCCCCATACCTGGTACACAGCCTGTGCCATCTTGAGTCTTGGTTAACTCTCTGTTTTCCCTACTTTCTTTTTTTTCCGAGACAGGGTTTCTCTGTGTTGTTTTGGAGGCTGTCTTGGGACTCACTCTGTAGACCAGGCTGGCCTCGTCTGCCTCCCGAGTGCTGGGATTAAAGACGTGCGCCACCAACTCCCAGCATTCCCTACTTTCTTAACAGCTGCCCCTCAGCTGTACCTCAACTGTTTTGTTCTCTGTTCCTAGCCGTCAGCTGTATAATGTTTACCTCCCTAGCATGTCCTGAGCTGATCACGTATCTTCACAGATTCCTCGCAGCACGATACCTATGGTTTTTTCCCCCCAGTGGAAGGAGTTACAGATGCAACTCCCTCCAGTTTTGGTCAGTAGCCATGTGCTGAGAGGGTAAAACATCTTGCTCTCATGTCCCGTCACAGGCTTATCCTTTTCTCACAGGATTGCTCCTT